CTGCTTCTAAGTATAGTCCCTTTCTGATTTTTTTAAAAAAATCAGTTTTAGTGCTTTTCAGTTGGTTTTCTTCTTTTCGTGAAAAATCCTCCCATATTTTAAAGTGTGATTGGTGGGAGCTGTATATTTTGGTCTTGTGCTTTCTAACAGATTGCTTGATAATGTGTTGTTGAAGGCCTTATGCCTAGGTATTAACCATATTGGTTTCTGATAAGTATGTACAGACACAGACACACATGCACATTTTCTTTTTGGCTGCTTGACTCTGGGATGAATTTCAAGATTTGTTTTCCCAGCTGTTAAGCATTTTGTTCTTTTTCTTTTAGTTTTCTATTTCAACTATATTAACTATATTAGAATCATCTAACCTGTTTTATTGATTTGTTTATTTTGTATATTCAGCAGGAGAGTAGAATTTTCTGAGTATTTTATGGTAATCTAGGACAGTGATGGCTTAACCTTTTTGCCATTGCATGCCAAAAGCAGGGGGAGTGCGGGGGGGGGGTCACGCACGCATGTGCTGACACTCATAATTCTATGCAACCCGCCCCCATGCATGTGCGCGTGACCCCCCCGCATGCTCCCCCCGCTTTTGGCACATGATGGCACAGTGGGCTCGGTAGACCAATTTTTCACTCTCCCCAGGCTCCACAGCCTTTCTAGGAGCCTGGGGAGGGTGAAAACGGCCTTCCTCACTCCCCCGGAGGCCCTCCGGAGGCTGGAAATGGCCTGTTTGCCAACTGGTGGACCCAGAAGGCCTGAAAATCAGCGTGCCGGAGCTGAGCGTGTGCCATAGGTTCACCATCACGGATCTAGGATATCAAGAGGCTATCAGATTGCCTCTTTCTGCCTGTTCCATTAATAGCGCTTATTCACAAAGTACTGTATGTAGACGTAGGATTATAAGCTAACAATGTAGAATGAATTTAAATGAAAGATTTCAGAAAAAAATGTTGAAGATTTCTATTCCAATTGTCTTGAAGCAGAAAACCTGTATTCCCATACCATTATTCCATACAACCTACAGTGTCTTGTTAGATTCCCCCTAGTTTTTGTGCTAGTTAACCAAAAGTTAAATGGTAAAAAGTTAAGTGTGGGAACAAGGCTAAATGTACTAAAATTTTCATGGTAGCAGCAGAGAGGTTTTGAATCAATTTACGGCAATTAGGGATAAGATTGCAAATATATGTTATACATCAATTGACTTTTACCTGAAGTCCATCAAATTACAGATCAAATTAATTGCATGCAGCTATAAAATAGCATATTTTTTCTATATCCTATGAGTATCCTCTTGGGTCTTGATGACTTCAGATCCACCCAGTATCCATTCAGTTGTAATATCCATCTTTAATTGAACCAGAAGACATAGCCTCTGTCCATTTACTTCTCCCCTGGATTTCTGAGAAGCTGCAGAAGAACAGAAACGTTGCATTAATGTACTTGCTTCAAAGCAATCTACAGCTCTGTGTGTACCAAAAAAATAAAATCTCCAAGGATCTACAAAAGTTTCAGTTAATTTTCTGCAAGGCTACTTACTTTACTGCCCTATTTCATACAACTCTTCAAAACTTACAAATGCCACTCAATTATTTCTTTTTCTGAATTGCTAAATGAATTTACTTACTGACCATTGCGAAAATGTAATGTTGGTGTTGTACAAGTGTTAGGAATGCACACATCCAAACCAGGAAGAATTGATCTCAATTTTAATCAAGAGATTCATTGTTGGTGTTCTCTCTACGAAATAAATTCCTATCATGTGCCTTTTCACTTCTATTGACCATTGTTAAAATGTACTTGATTCTTTGTTTATTATGGATTTGTAGTAAGAATTTGGTTAAGGAACTTGGGTAGGCAAGGAACCTTTTCAGCTTTGATTGTAATTAATGTTGCAAATAGTGAAGTAGTGGGAAGGAGGAATGTGGTGGGAAGAGCATGCATGATGAAATCTAGTCTCTTCTGTATTTGCTCTCTTTTTTGTATCCTTATAAATATTGTATGATGTGTGACTCATATATGAAATCCTGGAGCAAAGGAAATTCTGCCTGGTTTGGGATCTTAACCAATGTCTAATTTCATCTGAAATCTCTGCCTCTTTAGTTTGGTTCATTTGAAAGCTTTTAATTTTGTTAATTTCTTTTCTGTAATGGAAAGACCAGAAGTGACTTGTTGGAGCAAATGGCCCCAGCAGCTTGCTTGCATTCTCTCTCACTAGTGAGCTGTTTTTCTCACTTCTCATGAACGTCAGATTTATTCACACTGAAAGGAAATCGATCACAGGTAAAGAAAAATCTACGGGCAAATCCTCCCCCAAGGTACATAACACAACTTCTATTGACTTCATGGAGATGCAGTGCACATACTTCAATTTAGTACTTAAATAGAGCGAACAGCGATATGAGAAAAGCATTGTATAGCGATGCAGAAATAGAAGCAGAACCGGAATGCCAATAGTTGTTCTGTATAAAAGGTAGCATCATCCATTGGGTACATGTGGAAGACATGATGATGACATTCTCTCAAATATGTTTTCAGGTCTGCTTTTTTGGTGCATAAACCAAGCATATCTGGAATAAGATGGCAGATTCATTAATATAACCACTGAAAGATACACAGATGTCTCTTGAGAAGTTTTGTTCTTGCATTTTTTTTTATTTATTCTAGACTGGCGAGTGAGTACCCATAATTCAGATGTAAAATAGGCTTTTTTATCTTGATGCTCAAATCATAACATTTAATTATGATAATTATTAAAAGTTATTTCATTAACTAGGTATAGTTTTATGACTTTGTTCAACACAATTAAATTGAAAAATCATAACATCTAATTTCTGGTTTGGCATATATGGATATCGACATACAGAACATATGGAAGGTAAAATATTGCTTGGTCAGGAGGGATGCTGCATATTAGAATATTTAGTATTGGGAAGATTTTGCTATCTCATTATCTAGAGTTACAAAGTCTTCAAACATTTTAAAGCCAAAGACAATGGCTGTCTTTTTTTGGTGGCCAAGGAACATACTTAATATTTTTGGGGAAGTGCAAAGAGTGCTTGGTGGGAATATGCAAAGGAAAAATGGCAGCATCATGCATGTAGGAAAAATCGTGATTTTTGGTTGTGGCAATTAGAAGTGTGCCACAATTGGCTCTCCTTCCAATTAACAGGGATGCCAAATGTGGCATGGCTACGACTACAGCAGTTAAGCCAGTGCACACCTTTCATGTTTCCTTGAAAAGCATTACATGAAAACTTCACTTACCCAAAACCATGGTTGGCAATGGAGGTCAGTAGCTATGGGCCATCTGGAGATAGCAATAAAAAATGTTATTATCTCCATCTGGAGATAACAATGACATCTGGAAAATTGTAATGTCATGGAAGAGATGTAACTGGTAGTGGATAAAAGTTAGTGAATGAAATGAAAGAAAAATAGATGTGTCTCTGAAACTTAACATATGAAACTGGATGAAGGGAAAAGATGTATTAGATCTGAATGAAGATGACCTCATCTGAATGGAATGGACTTGTTGATGATGTATGCAGAAAATTAAAATATAGACAATAATTGTGAATGAAAGGGCTAAAATTTGAGGAATGGTATGGTGTCATAAAGGTAATTGTAGGTGTGTATGAAAGTAGGAACCTAGATTTGGTATAGTTATATATCTTGTGCTCTAGGGAAAATACAGGTAATCCTTGACTTACAACCATAATTGAGCCCCAAATTTTTATTGCTAAGCAAGATATTTGTTAAGTGACTTTTGCCCCATTTTACGACCTTTTTTGCCACGATTGTTAAGTGAATCTGACTTTCCCATTGACTTTGCTTGGCAAAAGGTCACAAAAGGGGATCGATCACATGACCCAGGGACACTTCAATCGTCATAAATATGAACCAGTTGCCAAGCATCCAAATTTTGATCATGTGACCATGGGGATGCTGCAACAGTCATAAGTGAAAAATGGTAATAAGTCACTTTTTCAGTGCTTTTGTAACTTTGAATGGTCACTAAACGGACTGTTGTAAGTCAAGGACTATATATAGCAAAACAATGGCAAGTTTAAAGAAATATCACTGCTAATAAAAATATAGGGAGCACAATGTAGTCTGTGATGAGGAATGAATGTTCCTTGAACTATGGAAAAATCTATCTAAGAACATGCTTCTTACTTTGTTTTATGGAAGTTAGACTTGGCTATGTCAGGAGCAAAATAAAACCAGCCAAACGTAGCGAAAGCATGATGGTTATTGTAGACACTCCGCTTTAAGTTGCTTACCCCAGAGCCTAAAAGGGTGATAGTCAGGAAAATGTAGATGAGATGTGAAATGGAATGTGCCATTCTCTGGCTCAGAGGTGCATAGCCCATGGCTTCTTTTCGATGCTGCTTGCTTCTCCACCCCCTCCCAATTCAGCTCTGATAGACTGATTGCCATGCAGTTGGGCTCTGTAACTTCCTTTCTGATCTCATCTTTTTTCCTAGTGGGGCTGCCAGACAGTACCAATAGATATTATCTATCATTCATTCAGTAAAAAATAAAATTAATGTAGTCAGAGAGATGTTGCAAGTTCTAAGTATAGATTGCGTAGATCAGGAAAAAGGGCTTTACGGTAAGAGTGAATTGGGAAGGAAACACCGATTGAGTCTTATTTCAAATTCTTGAAAACCCTGAAAAATCAAGGAACACGATACCTTTGTGTTTAACAAGCATTCGTGATAGTTAAAGACGAACTACTAAATAAAGTCGTTCCAGTACACGGCAAGGAAATGCTTGCAGCAGATGTAATTTCTCATTCTCAGCATCTAAATTTCCTTCCTTCAAAATAACAAAAAAGAAACTTTACAGAGGCCAGTTGTAACTTTTGGGGAGGGATTGGTAACGAGACATTTAAAAGAAGTAATGACTTTAATGAGGGAGATATAAAATACTTTCATTTAGTTGCTTTTTGCTTAGCAGTTAAACCTATGCTTTGCCTTTCTTTTTTGTGATAGCGAGAACTTGATGCAACGGCAACAGTGTTGGCTAACCGACAAGATGAAAGTGAACAATCAAGAAAGAAACTTATTGAACAAAGCCGTGAGTTCAAGAAAAACACTCCAGAAGTAAGTTGCAATACAATACAGATTTTGAGCATTTTCTGTAGCATAAAATTGACTTTTTCCCATCTGTTGAAATTAGTTTCTTGGACTTCTTCTGGCAAATGGAATCTCTCTTTTTCTCTCTCTCTATAAGAATCTTTAAGGGTCTGGCTTTATACCCTGGATGTGTTAGGATTTCCCAAAAAGATTGCATAGCATCGTTTATTGTGCAGAATTCTTGAAAAGAACTATCATTTCATCAAACTAATTAGGAGCGCAATAAAATAGAATACCCCTTAAATTTAGCAGTTTCATAATGTTAATGAATTACTTCAGATTACTGTAACTATTAAATATATGTATATGTAAGAAAACGCTGGGCATGCTGAAATGAATATGTCAATAATTTTCAATGTCATAATTTTTCAATTAAGACTTCTAAAATGTAAAAGAGATTATGCTGCTGCATGGAAATATCTCAACATTTTGTGGAAGAATCCCAGAAACATTATGTTTTGAAAGAAGCATTTATACCATATTTAAATGTGCTGTATAATTATTTTTTTCTTAAATGTTAATTTAAGTGGTTTTGGCTATTTGAAAGCTGTCAGGATCTTTTTTTAATACATTATATATAGCTAAGTAGGCATACTTTTTTAGTTTTCCTTATTTAAATATAGATCCATTTAACATGTTAAATGAGCTTTCCACCCTGCGCTTCCTTGTACGTTGGTTTCCATCCATTCCACTTATCATAGATAATATGCTATCTAGTTTTAGTTTATGATGTCAGAAAAATAATTCCAAATCTGGAAATCTCAAACCTTATTTCTGTTTCTCTTAATGGTTTCTCCATATTCAGAGCACTTATATCCATTTGACATCAAGTCCTTCTCATTTGCTGCTGTTAAAAAGAGAGCATTTAATGCAGTGGATGTCTAGAATAATTAGCTACTTCTCAGATCCTGGGCCCAGCACAAGATATCAACGAGTGAATATTGATAAAGAACTGTGACCTGCAAGAACTGTACCAGGAAAAGCACCATGGGAAAGCTAACTTTCTTTCATCCTCTTAATAGCATAAAATAGGATAGCATTGTTTTATGGCTAGTGAATATATGTTCCTCTGTGTGAGCGCTCTCCCTCCCTCCTTCCCTCTCACTCACATGCACCCACATAAGCACTGTTAAGCTGTGAGATCAGTAATTTGGTAGTGTAAAATTCTTGCTTCTTTCCCCCTGTTTTCACTTAAGGGAGTCTAAAGCAATGAGAATTGGAAATACTTTATAGGTAGTTCTCAATTTACAACCACAATTGGGAGCAGAATTTCCTTTGCTAAGCAAGGCGATTGTTAAGTGAGTCATACATGATTTTACAATCTTTTTTTGCTATTGTTGTTAAGTGAATCACTAAAGTTGTTAACCAAATCCGGCTTCCCCCATTGATTTTGCTTATCAGAAGACAGTGGGGAAGGTCACAAATGGCAATCACATGACACTGCAGCCATCTTAAATACATGCCGGATGCCAAGTGCCCGATTTTGGAACACTTGACTGTGGGAATGCTGTGATTTTGTAAGTGCAAAGACTGTTCAAGAGCCACTTTTTTCAGTGACTACAAGGATTCTTTGGAGAGTTACTGTTATTTGGATTTGCTTGCTCTAGACTAGATGTTTTGATTTGATATAAGGCATCTTCACATGCTAAAAGTTCGGTTTATCTGGCAAAATGTTTAATTGCAGGTGTGTATTCTGGGGTTTGATACAAATTCTGGAATCTGGAATACTTCTCTCAAGTGCATAGCATGCCATCAGTAAGACAGCCCCCCCCCCCCCCCGGTTAATTCTAGTTTGTATGAGACAGATGTTTGTTAGACATGCTTCTAGGGGAAGCACTGGACAGTAACAACGTAGTGTGGGGGTTTTTTGTGGCTTTTTTTGTGGATCAGAAGCACTTTTGAGAATGAAAGTGATTGTTGATGCTGGCCTTTTGTTGATGGATAGATTGTTGCTGGCATTTTATTTATTTATTTGGCATGCAAATAAGTATGTGTATGTAGGCTAACTATCTCATGTACTTGATTTTAGCCATCTCACAATGAAAACAGATTTTAAAAAACAGTAAAAACAACCAGAGACAGCAGCAACAACAAAAATAATACAAAACATAAAACTTTGCTTTGAGTATTAATATTTGCCATATCATTTTTAAAAGATCAGCTGGAACATGGAGCCTGGCAAGAGCCAGGGGAAGTTTTGCAGGCAAATTACGGAGCATTAAATTAGGAATCTGGCATTCGTAAGAAGAAGGGAAGAAAAATAACATGCACTTTTTCAATAATATTTAAAAATTCAAATTCCGTTCTTGCCATTTGAAGGTGGGATCTCTTTAGAAATTCCAGTATAATATCATTCTTTGATTTGCCTGTTGTGGGAGCTAACTTTTGACATACGTCTGTAGAAATGATTGAGCTATTTAGAGCTCTCCTTCAGTAACATTCCCATGCAAATAGAGCACATCCACACAAGCTTCTTTTTGGAGAGTTTCAATTGAGTTTTTCATGCTTAATATGTCATGGCTTCACAACCATTTATCTTTTGTTCTTGGGATAGGCTGATGATGGGGTTATGATTCAGAAGGCCTAAAATAAAATTTAAAAAAATCTACTTCCCACCCCTGTCTCCCTTTTAAGGTTAGAATCCAGCTCATGGTAAATCTTGTGCTTTTCATTTGATCATCTTCCCCCCCCCCCCCCCCAAAAAACCTGTCAACTTCTAGAATTCACATTTTTGGCTTCATGCGTTTTGTCATTTATTTATTTATTTATTTAAATTGATAGATATGGCTATCCATCTGACTAGCCATATGACTAATGTGACATTGGGCAGCTAGGAAAGATTACACTAATTTGAATTTATATGTATATTAATTCAGCTTTGGGTTTATGTTTGTGTGTGTGTCTATACACACACAAACACATATACCAATAAAAATGTTTCATCTATGTTGGTGATGTGGTGGATTCATTTAGGAACTAAAAATTAAAATAAAGAAATGGGAATGGTTTAAAACAACTACAGTTTGCTTGAAAATGTAGTTCCTGCATGCCTTGCAAAGATTAAGGCCATCACTCCAGGAGCAAGAACCGACAGGGCCATCTTGTGCTCTCTCAGGTGATTACAGGCATCAGTAAGAATTTTTATTGACATAACCAAAGGACAGATAAGTTCACCTGAAATATTTGCAAAGTCTGGCCTCTCGTTGCCACAATAACTGCCAGTCCTGCAGAGAACTTTTAATATTTTCTATTAATAATTAATCCAGACATTGAATGAAATGTATTTGGGGAGGATTTATCTATATTTAACAGCTCTGTATCCTCCTCCTTTAGGGAAACCTATAGTAAAAATATACCCAATCTTTAACATTCTAAAAAAAGTGCAAAAAGAAAAGAAGTAAAATAAAGTAAAACATGGAAAGTTCTATAAAGATAGAAGTAGTACCAGAGCAAAGTATTGATGAGTGTTTAATTGTTTTAATTAATTATATTAAACAGAGTGTAATGGTGAGAGAGGCTGGAGCACATTTAATAGATTTAAGATGACAGAATGATATTGCCTGCTCAGATTGGCAGACAGAGATTTTAGAGAGCAGCTTTTCATTTTTATTTTTTTTTACTTCTATCCTGGCAAAGTCGGTGTACAATTATAACACATTTTAATGGAATAATATAACAATATTATTCCCCCTCGTCCCCAAGAAGAAACGATCACCAGATAGATGAAAAGAAAGAAAAAAAGAGAAGTGGTTTTTATTTATCCAGGTTCTGTTAGAAAGTGAGCTACATATGGGTGATCTTAGTGAACATGGCCACTGATGACATAGTTTTGTTTTTCGGTGCCTGCAAATATGCCAAATGTTTAATAAAATTACTTGTATTTTGGCAATATCTCCAGCTTCAGAGCAAACAGATTAAATTATTTTTTTAAAGAATATTGTAGACATTGCTATTTTAAAAGATAGTTAAGTCTCTCTGAAATTCTAAATAGAAAAATTACTAAATGCCACCTAACAAAATTCTTAATAGTATTTTATACAATGTACAATGCTATAGTTAAATGTTAAATTTCTTAATTTAATCAAGTCATCAGAATTAGTCTTGCACACCCCTGTTAGGGGCTGGGACCTATTTTTCTATGGGTTGCAGTGAAAATGTGTGTGTCTTCAGCTTCCTTGAGATTTTCTATGTAGCAGGAATCTTATCGTTTGAGGTCTTTTGAATTATTTTCATTTTTTTGGTATGGATTTTTCCCATAGGTTAGAAATTAAGTGTCTCTTGGCTCCTAGCTTTCTGCCTGTTGCTGACCAAGATGCCAAAGACCCATCTTAAAATCTGTTGAAAATAAATTGGTATTTAGAAGAACCCTAGAGCAGGCCCTCTACCTTACTCAACTGTCAGTAGCAGTTACGGCCCTGAAATGTGTTTGTAGACTAGGGTGTTAAACTGCTTAAGAGATAAGAAAAATAGAGGAGTCCATTAGGCAGATTCTCTAGGTAGTACTCCTAGTAAATTCCTGTCATATCTTCTGGCTTGTAATCGTACCAGCCGTATAAGGAGTTTGATGTGCCTCTGGAAAGAGAAGCAGCAATACTAGCCACCTCTGGGTTTGTAATAGGGACAACTGCTCCAGCACATAAGCATTACACGTATGATATGAAAAGCTGATGCAGGCATTGATACCATTGAGGAGAAAAGAATGGTTTCTGTGCCTTTAAATTTTCTTCTGCTTATCCTTGCCCTCCAGGTGGAAATGTCTGTGCATCTTATAGAGTGAATATTGCGGCAGTGGGGAGGGGGTTGGTGCAGTGGTGGCATTTGCCACTCCCTGTCACCGCTGCTGCTGCTCGCCACCGCTGGGGAACTCTGGAGCCTTCGCTGCCAAGCAGCTGATCGGCTGTTGGATAGGCCACCCGGAATACTGCCGATCAGCTGTTCTAGGTGGAGAGGATTGCTGCTGCCATTTG